CCCCCGCCAGTCTGTGACGCCCCTCTGCTCTCCTCTGCCGCAGGCACGGATGGAACCTCACCGTCCTCCCCAATAACACAGGGTCCATCCTGCGTCACCTCGGTGCTGTGCCTGGTAAGCCTGGTGCGGCCGCGGTCTTCCGGGTCCCGAGGCCCCTTGCCCCAAACGACCAGGACGGGACAGGAGGCTAGCGGCGTAGATCACGTAGATTGGAAGCTTTGGTCTTTAGCGTGCAGAGGAATGGGATTGTTGAAGTCAGAAAAGTGTGCAAAGGTGAACCGAATGGTAGCATCTAAAAGTGGGGGAGACACTTCGTGGCCAAGGTTTCATCTTGAAATTGGTATTTTCAAAGCTGATGTCCTGACTCCTTAGGGCTGGTGTGGGCTCAGAAGTGATCGATGGCTTGCAGAGGGCAGGGACAGCCAGGTGCCCTGGGGGTTGTGGTCACTGGGGGTTGTGGTCACTGACGGCTGGGCCCCTCCACACGCTGGGGGGTGGTGGGGGGAGCAAGCGATTCCTCGAGGCCTCCCCAGAGAGTGGGGCCTGAGCTTCCTGCCTCCATCCAGCACACGCAGGAGTTCAGGTCGACATGTCTGTGGGGCGTCCTGAGCTGAGGTTCAGCGGGCCACGGCACGTGGCTGGTGGATGACAGTCCCCGTGTGCTGCCCCTCGGGGCATCTTAGGGCTTCCCGCCGAAACTCGCAGATGAAGATGTTTTTAAAAACCGTTTTGTAACCGTGTCTGCCTGCCTTGGCTTCCTTTCTGCGTAGCTAACAGGAAGCACCTTCTCCCGAGCACCTTCTCACCGGTGTCGTCTGACTTTTGAGTCCTGTTTTTTTCTTTTTCTCTCCGCTTGGGAAGAAGGCAGGGGTTTCTAGGTGCCGTCACTCAGGGACCATGTGGCTGTCCTTTTTAACGCCTCTCTCCCCCTTGGCAGGAGTGACAATTCCCTGGCTAAACATCGGCATGGTCTTTTCTACCTCATGCTGGTCTCGAGACCAAAACCACCTTCCCTATATCGACTACTTACACACTGGTGCTGACTGCATTTGGTGAGTACGCCTGCCATGGGGGCCCCAGCGTTCCGGAAAGTTCCACCTCTCACCAGGTGGCTGACCGCCCCCGGGAGCTTGCTTGTGTGGGTTTGGTCCTGTGCCCCCCGGTTCAGTCACAGGATTTCTTAGCTCCCTTGGAAGCGCTTGAGGTGGCGGGAAGGTTTCGAAGGAGGTTTGATTTGCTCGAATGGTGAGCAAGGTTGAGCATCGTTTCTTGTGCTTATGGGCCATTTCTGTTTCTTTTTTGTCAGCTGCCTGCTTACCCTTGTTTTATCTTCTGGGATGTTATTTGTTGGTGGTGTTTTCTAGGACTTCGTGTCCTGTTAGGGGTAAGAGCAGTTAGGGGTGTCACAGAAGGTGGAGTGGTTGTGCTGGGTCCCCAGCCTTCCCCTCACCCAGTGTAAACCGTCCTCTCCCGGGCCTGGTGTGAGGTTGTTTTTGGCATCTCTACAGCGGGGTGTCCGACCCGTCGCTGCCACAGAGCACAGGTGTCACTGGGAGCGGGTCCCTGCTGTGGGAGAGGCACGGGTTTCTCTTACCGCTGCCTGGGTGCCCACCTGTGACCCTGCCCTGTCCGCCCGTCCCCGTCCACGGCTGGTGCTCTGGGCCCTTCCTTCCCGGTGGCAGATGGGAAATTACTGCACGTAACCAGGCTGTCCTGTCACCTGACAAGCCACCGACACCACATCTGTTCCACACTGACTGCAGCTGTTGTCCCGAGGGGGTGATTCGGCATTCTTTATTAAAACACGCCAAGTCGCACAACCGGTGCTCTCCCCCCGGGAGCCTGTCTCTGCCACAGCCTCCGCACCAGGACTCCCCTGCTCTCGGGCCACGTTCCCACAGGTGTGCTTAGTGTCGAAGCCTGGCGGGACCGGGGGACCCCTGTGGGGGCTTCGCCACCGAGGATGGGGGGTCCTCGGCATCCTGCGGGAAGGCCAGAGCGGGGGCTGGTGGCCCGAGACAGAGTGCGTGGCGTGCAGGGGTGTGCGGCCTGCTCGTCTGGAGGGCTGTTCCCCGTGGACGAGCTTCTGTGGCCACGCCCGGCTTGGGGAGCAGAGGGTCCCGCCCAGGCCTGTGACCCGGCCCGCCCTGCACACAGGGGCGAGGGGCGGTGAGATGCTGTGGCTGCAAGGCCGTCCTCGCCGCCTGGCCGTGAGTTAGAGGTGGGGAGACGTCGGACTCCGTGGGCCTTTGGAAGCCTCATCCCCGGAAACCCTGCTGGTGGAGAGTGAAGAGGAGGCCGGGATGTGACCCGGGGACTTGATGGTGTGTGGTTTTTCTTAAAACCGGTGATTTAGGTTAGAACGCCTGGATTTCAGTCACAGGTCAGGAGTAGGATACACAGGTGTTGAAATCAGCATTTATAGAGAACGTGAATGTGGTGCTTGGCGACTGGAAAGCAGGATTTGGCCTCCAAGGGTAGGGTTGCCTCAGAGACTCCGGTGGCGATGGATGGTCAGCCAGTGGGCCCGTGGGAAGGTTGGACATTTGGAACCGGTTGTATCGGGGGCAGGATGTGAGCTGCCTGGCCGACTCCCCTGAAGGGAGGTCAGTGGCTTCATTGGCCTGTGGCCCAGTCAGGACCATTCCAGGAGTGTGTCCCTGGTGGGCCCTCTTGGGACACTGGTGACGACCCCCCCCCCACCTCGTAACATGGTGAGGTTCCAGATTCTTCTGTTGGTAAAGTTCTGCCCACGTCTTCAGCCTTCCCTCCCCCCAGCATCCCTGCGGCTCCTTAGCTCCGGCCAGAAAGGTCTGCGCTGTCCCCTGCCCCTGTGGCCTGGCCCCTCTGTCTGCCTGTGCAGCTTGCCTGATGTGGCTCTCGTGGTGGCGCCCGTCCTGTGCCCTCAGCTGGCTGAGCCGGGCTGGCTCCTGGCACACGGCTCCCTCCGGGAATGTGTTCCTCTGTCCCCTGGGTTTTTACCAGCTCCCGTTCCAGGATTTCACAGCCGCTGTGGTGTCCTTGCAGCCTTGGCCGTGAGGCGGCGAGCGCACAGGCTGGACTCCTCTTCGGAGAACACGGGGGTCCCCTCGCCCGTTCCGGCCGCCGCAGCCCTCAGCTGCCCGGGGGACCAGCGCCGGGGTCCTGTCGTGTCCTCTGAAGGTTTAGGGCACTTAGCAGAGGCTGATCGCGTCTGCATGTGTGTCTGGATCTGATTTCTAGGCAGCTTTCGACATCTGGTTTGGGTTTGAAGGCTTTTTGGCTCACGCGTAGGTCAGCTCCACGTGGCGGGTGCGTTCGCCCGCCGTGGCTGCGTTCTGGCCGCGTTGGCTGGGAGCAGCGGTGCCGCCCTGGGAAGCGGGGGCGCCAGTCACTGGGGTGCGTTCCTCCTCCCGGCTACCCCCCAAGGCCACTTTGCAAGCCGGCGTCCGCTCCCCTCTCGGACGGAGGGTTGCAGCGTGGGCCCAGCGAGCGCTCCCCGGGCAGAGGCTCCATGTCAAGGCTGTGTCCCGCCCGTGTTCCCACACAACCCAGGTATTGCATTCCTGCTGAGGAGGAGAACAAGCTGGAGGATGTGGTCCACACCCTGCTGCAAGCCAACGGTACCCCAGGGCTACAGATGCTGGAGAGCAACGTCATGGTAGGTCCCCCCCGCTGCCCGGGGCCGCAGATGCTGGCCGGGAGCGGGCATTCAGGATTGGGACCCAACCCTGAGCGGTCTTATCGAGTCCCTTTCCTTGCTGGCCTGCCCCCCAGAGGCAAAGAGGACATTGAAAAATGAACCCTCCGGGGATCCTTGCAAGCCAACCTGTTCTCTTTTACGAAAGCGGTGTTTCCCTCAGACGGCACGGGATTCCCGTCTTAGGAGGCCCGAGCTGGCCTTTGAGTCCGTTTCAGGGCCTGCTTTTTCTGTAAGTGGAGACCGGGCAATCTAGGAGGCGGGGGCCACGGGCTTGTGTCGGGTGGTCTTCTGGCTCTGTTGTGCCCTGCCGTCCCCACCTGCTGGGCACCTGGGTGACTGGGCTACCGGTCGGGGATGTTCACCGTCACAGGACCAGCACAGGGGCTTCTGACCCTGTCTTCAGGAAGTCCTGGGCCAGTTGAGTTTCTGGGGGTCTGTAGCCTTGAGCTGTGTCCTGACGCCTGAGTTCAGGTCCCCTCTGGCCTCTGCTGACCCCCGCCTCGGTCTCCCGTCCCTGCAGGGCCCTGCTCACTCTGGGTTCAGCCCAGAGAAAGGGGAGCAGCAGCCCCTCGACGTGCTGGGCCTGGGGCCCCCAGCCTGCACCCCTGTGCTCTCCCAGCTCCAGAGGCCTCCCAGCAGCCACCCGGGTGGTATCCATTCACCCCGTTCGAAGCTGGCAGTGGTGCATGGGGACAGGGCCGGGTCTTCACCGAGGCTGTGCCCCTGCGGGACCGTTGTCCCTTTTAGGCCGGTATCCATGCAGATCTTTGTTGTTCTTAGGAATTATGTGTCTGTCTTTTCTTTTTAAAAAAAAGTTTAAGGTTTATTTTATTGTTTTTTTTTTTAATTTTTTTTTTAATGTTTATTTTTAAAAAAAAAATTTTTTTTTAACGTTTATTTATTTTTGAGACAGAGAGAGACAGAGCATGAACGGGGGAGGGTCAGAGAGAGGGAGACACAGAATCCGAAGCAGGCTCCAGGCTCTGAGCTGTCAGCACAGAGCCTGATGCGGGGCTCGAACTGACGGACTGTGCAAGATCATGGCCTGAGCCGAAGTCGGCCGCTTAACCGACTGAGCCACCCAGGCGCCCCAATGTTTGTTTATTTTTGAGACAGGGAGAGACAGAGCATGAATGGGGGAGGGTCAGAGAGAGAGGGAGACACAGAATCCGAAACAGGCTCAGGCTCTGAGCTGTCAGCACAGAGCCCGACGCGGGGCTCAAACTCATGGACTGCGAGATTATGACCTGAGCTGAAGTCGGATGCTTAACCGACTGAGCCACCCAGGCGGCCCCTTTAACGTTTATTTTTGAGAGAGAGTGTGAGCGGTGCAGGGGCAGAGAGACAAGGAGACACAGAATCCGAAGCAGGCTCCAGGCTCTGAGCTATCAGCACAGAGCCTGACGTGGGGCTCGAACCCACGAATCGCGAGATCGTGACCTGAGCCCAAGTCGGACGCCTAACCGACTGAGCCACCCAGGCGCCCCTGTGTCTTTCTTTTCTCAAAGGAGAAGCAAATCTTTCAATACTAAACCTCATCCAACTCCTGGCCAGCAGGTCCCTTCCGTCCCGACACCCCCCCTCCTGGCCAGCAGGGGTGCCTGTCGGTCCACTCGCTGGGGGAGGGGCTGGCGGAGCTGTCACAGAAGGGGGGCTCCGGGCGGCGGGTAGTGGTTGGGGGCGACAGCCAGGAAAGCCCCCCGAGCCCGGCCTGTCTCCCTAGATCTCCCCGGAGGTGCTGTGCAGGGAGGGGATCAAGGTTCACAGGACCGTGCAGCAGAGCGGTCAGTTTGTCGTCTGCTTCCCGGGGTCCTTTGTGTCCAAAGTGTGCTGCGGCTACAGCGTCTCTGAGACCGTGCACTTTGCCACCACCCAGTGGACGAGTATGGGCTTCGAGACGGCCAAGGTAAGGTGGGACCAGCCCCCGAGTGGGTGCACACGCACGGCCCTGCACGCGCGGGCCTGACGTGAGGTGACGCTGAGTTTCAGAATAGGAGTTTTGAAACCTCTTCAGAGGCAGCCGAGGGGTTTTTTCTAAAAGGAAAGTTTGTATCATGAGAGGTTTTGAATTCTGTTGTTGACTCCCGCACGGCGTTGGGAACACAGTACGGAAGGAGTTGAAGGTAAAACTTCAGAGAAAAGCGGGTGCGGATTTTTAAGTGTATTTATTGTGAGAGAGAAGGTGCGAGTGGGGGAGGGACAGAGGGGGGAGAGAGAATCCTCCGTGCGGAGCCCGACGCAGGGCTTGAACCCACGAACCATGAGATCATGACTTGAGCTGA